TGGCCATCGTGCTGTCCACCTCGTCCTCGTCCTCGTCCATCCCGTCTGCCCCTGCCTTGTGCTTCTTGGACGCCGGGCCCCCCGCCCCTCCTATACTGCTTCTCGCACTTGCTGCTCGCGCACCAGGGCGTGCAATCCACGACTGTGGCGCCTCGCTCATCCTGCTGCAACTCTCTGATGTAGCAGGAGGGTGCGAGAAGCGGTTGAAGGTGATCTCTGCAATGCTTGAAGAAATCGGCTACGGTGGTGGAGACCTCGGGACCTAAGGGGCACTTGAGACTGAAGGGCTCCTCGAATGGACTGGCATATCTGGCTCTCGACTTAGGACAGTACGCTCTTGCCACGCTTGCTGCTATCTGTTGCCGGGCTATTTCTTTGTCTCTGAACGTGCTTTCGCAAATCATACGTTGATTGGTCGTCGTTAGTACTTTGCCGAAATGTGTTTTGCCGTGACTGGACGCCGCTGCGACGCGTGCGTGCAGCTGCTTTTTTGTGGGCCATGTGGTTCCACATGTCGTGCCATCTTCTTTGGTCTCCATGCATCTGCATCGCCTCCAGGAGTCGCAGGTCTGAGCAAGCTCGTCGGCGGCAGAAGTGGATAGAAAAAAAAAAAAAAAAAAAAAAAAAAAAAAAAAAAAAAATTGCGCGGAGTTCGTCAACGTCGAGCCTCACAAACTCGTGACAGTCCGTGAAGAGAAAGTCGAAAGTACTCTGATATTCGTGAAGGCCGGCTCCCGACTCCGTGGCCGTGAGCGCGTCAAGATCTTGCTGGGCTCGTCGAGCCCGGGGATTAGCTCGCTCGGAAACTCGCCCATCTACAAAAACGAACTCATCAAACTTGGTCGGGCCAAATACTGCCGATAACAGCTGGGAGTTGTCCTCTTTCATCTCCACGAGTTTCTGCAACCACTTGATTCGTCGGATCCTGAGTTCCGGAAACAACGGGGCAACCCTGAACTTCCTCATCACCTCCTCATGTTTGATCGTCTTGACGTGCCCCCTTCCCTCCTCCCACTTGGCGGCCCCGTGGAGGATGGCTCTGCGCTGCTTCAGGATGAAACTCTGGAGATGTCTGAGATCGGCTTCTCTGAGTGGGCCCGACCCGTGCACCGCTACTTCTAGCCCCGAGAGGGCCGTGTTGATGAGCAGACCCTTGACCATCGTGCGTTTGACCGAGAACGGGGAGTTGCTGAACCAGAACTTTCCCATGGAGCGGTACGAGGCTTTTACCGCGTCCAGGCGTTTTCTTAGTTCAGGTCCAGGAGTGAATGTGGCCGACTGTAGGCCTCCGAGATACCTGATGTGGTGCTTGGTTGCCTGCAATACCTGCGGCCTCGCCAGCGCACGGGCGTCTCTGAAGAGCGCGAGCACCTCTGCCTCGCAAGTGGCATACATTCTCCTGCTTAGCGAAGTTGTCCCGCTCCCACGACCCCCAGCCCCTCATATATGGACTTGTTCTCCCCCTCGCTGCCCCTCCTGATGGTCTCCCCCATGCCCCCCCCCCCCCGCCCTCCAATACCTTGTTGGCTAAATTATCTACGTAGCCCGTGAAGGCGATCTGCTCTGGATAGTCTGGTTGCCACGGCCTGGCTGCTTCCACATACGGGTACCATCCTTTGAGACCTGCACAGCCGGCTACCTTCTCCATAACTGGGTCCGAGTAGCTCTGGCAAAATAACTGCGTGGCTCCTGTGCCGCCTGGAAACTGGCCAGACTGCGCCTACTGCCAAAACGTGCCACCCTCGTCCTGTAGCAGGGACGTGTTGTGCTGAATCCTATCCATGATGAGCTTCCTATCAGTAGGAGCATAACATGCGTGTGCATTGTCGAGTAGGATGTCGCGCTTAGTGGTGTAGTACGCGTTCGTAGCATCATGGCACCTGAGCATGTGTGTGATACCAGCTGCCTGCATCCTGTACGATCCTACAAGTTGTACGCCCATGGCCGACTCGAGCCTGAGTCCCCCATGAAGCCAGTTGGGCGGGTTCCACCTGGGCTCTTTGCGCGCGAGTGCAGCAGCGTGAAACGCGCGCCCCAGGCAGCACATGACCATGATTAATCTCTCCCCGTCGCAGCCTAGCTTGTGATTATTATTTGGCATGCGTGCTGCCTGTGCGCTGCGCCACATGACGGGACATCTTTGGTACTTCCTACATGCGAACAAGAGAGCCTTCATCGCGTCCCTGGACCGATCGATCTTCTCGAACTCCTGATCGAATCCGATGCCTTCGCCGATCTTGGGCTTTCTCTCGTTGACCCACTTTGGGTGAAAAAGCAGGCGTGACAACTCTGGTGGCAAGCTCCAGCTTGGCCACGTTCGCCAGAAACGTAATTTCAAATGCAGCGCGACTGAGCAACCCCCAGTCTTCAGCAGCAAGATACAAAGCCTCCGACACCTCCATCGTATCCCTCCCCTCCTGATCTCTCTCGCTTTTGACCTGCATCGGGTGCTTCTCGATTGCCGGACACCCACCCGAGAGAGGCTGGAGACGTATCCTGTGGGCCCATGCCCTTGCCGATGCTGCGCTGCTCGATATGGCCGCAAATCGGGGTTGACGGGGGCCCCGCCGCCTACATGCTAACAGTCTCGCTAACTTCTGAACTAGGTAGTTGTTCTGCTCGCGCGCTGCTGCTTTAAGCTCTTGTGCTCCTCGCTCTCGTATGTGCTGCCAATATTTCGTGTTTGCTTGTCTTATCTGCTTGCTCCTGCGCTGTATCTTTATAGTAAGTGCTTCTATGCCTTCTGCATGTGCTGCGGATTCACGAAGTTCCCGTCTGGCTTTCATTAGGGCGCGAACCTCCTGAGCGTGCTGCTTGTGGCTCTCGCTGTACAGGGGGGACTCTGCTAGCTGGTCGACCGCTGCTTTGTTGAGCGCACCTATCAAAAGTTCGTTCATGGAGTCCACATCACCTATCAGAGAGGCTGCCTCGAACTCGTCCTCAATATTGCTGACCTCCTCCTCCATGGCCCTCAATACCTCATTCCTCCGAAACCCTACTTGAACACGTTGGTAGAGCGCCTCTCTGTTAGGCCTTGGCGGGCGCCTGGGAAGCGGTTCCACCGCAATCTGAGCAATCAATGATACAAGTACTGGCCGGTGGTCCCGAGGTTCTCGTGACTTGATGAGCTGCAGTCTACGTGCCGATGAAGAAAGAATGTGGACCCTCTCGGTGGTCTGCAACATCTCTCGTGGGAGGAGTACGTGGTCTATAAAGGAGCTGCGTTTCTCTCCCACGTATGTCGCCGGTCCTGGGTAATGCGTCGTCGCACTTGTGAGCGACCATCCCTCGGCATACGGTCTAAATCTTGACGATGTGGGGGTGATCTTTCCCGTGCCGTGAACAGCTGCGACCTGATCGAGTGGGCTGTGCGGAAGAGCTCCATTCAGGTCTGTCATCAATATAGGAACGGCACCTCTCTCACGTAGCACCGATCTGCTCGATACTTCTATCATACGTCTGGCGCCCACTGGACGACGTCTCCCGGGGGGGAACAGATGCCAATATAAATCCAAACCTGAATCCTTGAGCCTCTACCATCACGGCGAGCACACGTCCTCTGATCCCCTTCGGCACGTCGAAGATCCTTTTGATGCTCTTCCTCGGGAATCTCGACCTGCGTGGTAGCAGAATGACGCCGCAGCTCTTGGTGGTGTGCTGCCCGTACGAGTAGCCCGCCTCGATGGTGTAGTGCTGGCCGACAGACCTTGTGTCCTCGACAACTTATCCTCGACTCTTCAGCTGGGTGCCGATGAGCCCAACAACGTCCTTGTTGCCCAGCTCGTGCGCGATATCTAGCAACCGATTGAACGTGTTCGCACACTGTGGGTTGTACAAGACCGGTCTCAGAAGGCCTGCCGCCATGGTGGCGCTGCCGCCGCCAGGCTCAAGTGCTCCATGGGGGGGTATGCGCCCCGCGGAAAGTAGTGAAGGTGTGGCCTCTTCACGGGTGGCGCTCGCGCGGTGCGCCTGACCTGGGCCCCCTGGAGGAAGAGGAGGAGGAGGTAGAGGAGTAGGTGGGGGAGGGACTGAACCCCAAGGTTCTCCCCCGAGGATCACCACCTCCTCCTTCTGCTCCTTCTCCCATTCTACCTTCGTGTGTCCTCCTCCTCCTCCTCCTCCTCCTCCTCCTCCTCGTCTCATCCTCCTCTGCCTCCTCATCCTCCTCCTTATCCTCATCCTCTTCCCCCTCCTTCTCTCCCTCTTCTCCCTCCCACTCCTCCTCCTCCTCCTCCTCCTCCTCCTCCTCCTCCTCGTCATCGTCTTCTCCTCCTCCTCCTCCTCTTCCTCTTCCTCCTCCTCCTGTCCCTGTTCTTTTCCTCCTTTTCCTCCTCCTCCTCCCTCCTCCTCCCTCCTCCTCCTCCTCCTCCTCCTCATCCTCCTTCTCCCCCTCCTCCTCCTCCTCCACCTCCTCGTCGCTGCCTGACAATCCCAAGCCCCCCAGAAGGGCACAGCTGGAACCACAAGGCGAAGGACATCAGGCCAGGGTCCCGAAGGACCCCACTCCTTCATTAATGGAAGGAAACTCAAAACTCTAAACATAAACTCTTGGCGCTCCACGCGGCTTTCTTGGATCCTCGCTGGGCCCCCCCGGCGGCGCCTATGGCGCGCGAAGCGCGCCAGGGAGGGAAGTCTGGCGCGGATCCAAACAATCCGCGAGGAGCACCAAAGTTTTATGTTTACGCCGTTGCTTTCTTCGTTTATGGATTAAGAGGGGCCCAGGGACACACAAAGAAATAGGCACACATGTCCCACGATGCCCCCATTGTCCCATATATTCTGGACTTGCCTTGCGTCTTCCCTTGCATCTCCAATGATTTCTGCTCCTTTTCTCCGGGAAGTCGACGATTATTCGTGTCTGTGTGGTTCTTCCTCCCTCGATCCATGGCAATTCGAAGAAAGATCAATGAACGAGTTGCCAAACTGGTCGCTGTCGCACCCCGCGAAACCGCAGCCCGCGGTCCCGCAGACCCCCCGCGCGAGGGCGCTGGGTGCGCCGCGTGCTCCGGACCCCGCGCAGGTCTCCCACGTACCCGCGGGCGCGGATGATGCTCCCGAACGTGTGGGCACCGCGCACCTGCGGCAAGCGGGAGACTCGGCCCTCGAATCGTAAAACTAGCAACACGATGCGCTACCAAGGAACCCCACATACTTATAATATGTCTGGCGAAATCACAGCTGGAATGAAACATGCGAAAATGATGTTGGTGGCCGTTGCCCCGCCGATACCGTTGGTGACGCCCGTGGTTCCGAGAAACTGCCATGACGGCCACGCTTTGCGAGCCCGAAACGGATAGCGCCCCCACCCGAAGCTCACCCCCGGTGTCGAGAAACTGCCACACCTGCCACGCTTAGCAGGCCCGAAACGGATAGCGCCCCCACCCGCACCTCACCCCCGAGGTGTAGAGAAACTGCCACGCCTATCACGCTTTGCGAGCCCGAAACGGATAGCGCCCCCACCCGCGGCTCACCCCGTGTGGTGTCGAGAAGCAACGCCTGCACGCTTTACGAGCTCAAAATGGATAGCGCCCCCACCCGCAGCTCCCCTCTCTGTGGTGTCGAGGAAGTGCCACGCCTGCCACGCCCCGGAAGCCTGCAACGCATATAGACCGCGCTCGGGGATCACCCCCTGCGCACCCCCTGTGGTGCCGAGCAAATGCCACGCGCCACCCTTTGCGAGCCTGCAACGCATAGAGACAGTGCTCGCGGACCACGCCCTGCGCACCCCCTTGTGGTGCCGAGAAAAAGACACGCCTGCCGCGACCTACGAGGCTGCAGCGGATAGAGACAGCGCTCGGGGACCACCCCCTGCGCACCTCCTCTGGTGCCGTGAAAGAATTACGCCTGCCACGCCTTGCGGGGCTCCAACAGATATAGAAAGCGCTGGGGGGCCACCCCTTGCGCACCCCCTGTGGTGCCGAGAAAGTGCCACACCTGTCACACCTTCCGAGCCTGCAGCGCATAGCGGCAGCGTTGAGGACCCGCCCCCCCTGCGCACCTCCTCTGGTGTCGAGAAAACGCCACGCCTGCCACGCTCTACGAGCCTGCACCGTATATAGAGACAGCGCTGAGTGACCACCTCCTGCGCACCCCCTCCCATGGTGTCGAGACCCAGTTTGGCCCCAGCACAAAAGGGCGACCAAGCAGCTGCCCAGACATCGGCAGCGTCTTAGCGTGGCCCTCTCTACGCTCACTTTTGAGCAATGGCGGCACACCATTGATGTAACGCCGAGATAGTCCCACGCCTGTCACGCCTTCCGAGCCTGCGACGCACAGAGAGAGCGCTGAGGAACCACGCCCCGCGCACCCCCTGCGGCGTCGAGAAAGAGCAACGCCTGGCACGCCTTGCGAGCCTGCAACGCATGGAGACAGCGCTGAGGGACCACCTCCTGCGCACCCCCTTTGGTGTCGATAAAGTGCCGCGCCTGCCATGCACTGCGAATCCTACACGTATGTCTTGTACATGGCGTGTCATGTGTATGTGCATGATGCGTGTGCGGCCGTATCTAGACGTGCGTCCCATGTCATGGGTGCCCCGTACGTGGCGCATACTTTTGGCTGTACAATACAGTGAGCACGCCAGGCGTGCACTGGCGTTGTTCGTGTGTGTGTGTGTGTGTGTGTGTGTGTGTGTGTGTGCGTGTCTGCGAATGCGTGCATGCGTGCGGCTTGTGTCTGATGCGTGCGCACGAGAAGGTGAGGAAGAGAAGGAGCGGAGAGGGAGGTGTGAGGGAGACGCGGGTGCGACGCGGGAGGAACGAACACCCAAACCCAGCGGAACGCGCGGGGAACAAAGAGAAGGAGCGGGCGGCTTTTGCCCGCCTTCGGCCTCTAGGGGGCCCATTGCCTTGCCCAGGGGTCCTCCACACAAGTGGGTCGGGATGCCAAGCCCGCTCTGGGGGAAGGAGGAGGAGGAGGAGGAAGAGGAGGAGGGGGAGGAGGGAGAGGAAAAGGAGGAGAGGGAGGAGGAGGAGGAGTGGGAGGAGGAGGAGGAAAAGGAGGAGGAGGAGGAGGAGGACGAGGAGGGGAAGGGGCCGCGACGGCCGGGCGACGAGATCGCGGCGTCGGGGATCCGGGATAGCCTCACGCCTGGCCCGCGGCTTGCGACCGCTCGCGTCGACCGGCCGACGCGCCCCCCCCCTTGTCTCCCGCCACCTCTCCCTGCTCCTGCTCCTCCTCCTCCTCCTCCTCCTCCTCCTCCTCCTCCTCTACCTCCCCCTCCTCCTCTACCTCCTCCTCCTCCTCCTCCTTCTCCTCCTCCTCCTGCATCCCTCCTCCTGCATCCTCCTGCTACGTCCTTCTCCACCATCCTCCGCCATTCCCTCCTCATCTTTCTCCTCCTCCTCCTCTGCGACTCATCTCCTCCTCCTCCTCCTCGTCCTCCTCCTCCTCTTCCACCATATTCCTCCTACATCCCCCTCCACCATTCTCCGCTACTCTCCCACGTCCTCCTACACCTCCATATTATTCCTTCTCTTTTTTCATTCGTCCCTTGCCCTCACCTCATCCCAGCAACAAGAGAAGCCTCCCCCAAACCCCAAACGCGTCGCGAAACAATCACGACGGTCGGTTTGGGTGTATTTTCGGCCTCTCGGAGCCCTGATCGAGCCCTGGGAGTGTCAAAAACTACTGGGGATCATGTAACCAGCCCCAGGGAACAGGTCGAGACATCTGCGGGTCAACGTTGTGAAAGAGGACGTGGCTGGCGGCGAGCAGAAGCCTCACGACCAGCAATTCCGCCTGGGATTCGGGCCCTGGGACCCTCGAATCGGCCCCGCTCGATGAATGAAGACGCGGACTGACGGTATTGTCTGAACCCTCCTGCCGTACTTGTTCAGGGCGAGTCTGTCAGGATTTCTCCACCTCCTCCTCCTCCTCCTCCAACTCCTCCTCCTCCTCTGTCTCCTCCTCCTCCTCCTCCTCCTCCTTCTCCTCCTCCTCCCCCTCCCGCAGCGGGAAGGTGGTCGGTCTCAAGAGGCGATACCGAAGCAATCCCTCGCCGGCGGCCGTGGAAGAAAAGCGGCCGGCCCGCCTGCATGGCGCCGTCGCCGCCCTGGCGACCCAGCAGTTCCCGCAGCAGGTCCGCGCGACCGGCGCGGATACAGGCCTCTGCCGAAGGGGGCCACATGACGTAGGATGAAGGGAGGAAAAACTGGCTCAGGGGGGTGGAGGGTGACTCCTCCTACACCTCCTCCTCCTCCTCCTCCTCCTCCTCCTCCTCCTCCTCCTCCTCCTCCTCCTCCCTTCTTTCCCTGCTGGGCACACGGCGCAAGAGAGGGCCCAAGGACGTCGCTCCCTTGAAAGCCAGCGAGATAAGATGTCTCCTGGGCTATTTTACCAAAGGGCTTTGGACCAATGCCATGCTTGCGCAGGCAGGGCACGTTGACACCCAGCTGCCTCTGCGGACATCCACATGATGGCATGTTGCATCTTTTGTGCGTGAATTCAATGTCCCAGCCGCGCCGGTATTCGATGTTCACCGCAGAGCAGAGGGAGGCTATCGATCGGGTCTCTCAAAAATTGCCATTCTGCCCTGGCTGGCTTTCAATGGGCGCCGACTTCAAGCCTGGCTCAAAGATCCCTGTACAAGCCTGGCGTCGAAGACTTCCATCACTCTACATGGTCGGTAGTCCAGCTTTGGGATAATGGCGACCAATATTCGGCCCTCTAAGCCCAATGGTGGTCGCCTTCCGTTTTCGTCGGCTGGTTGGGTGTCATCGCGGCAAGCACTAATGCGGGCCACACCAAGTTTCACTCCCACCTGGACTTGCAGATGGATGGCCCGGCCGCTGCTGAGATCCCCCCGAGCTGCAAATCTAAACTGTGGAACGCAGACAGAGCGGGCAAGCGGAGGCAAGCGGGGAATGGAAGAGGACAGCGCGCCGTACCGCGGCTACACAGCGCCCCAGCACCGAGCACCCTGCACGCACCCTGCACACGCACGCACGCACACAAACACACGATTAGTTGGCTTCGCGGTTCTGCGGGCGTCGACGGGGCGTAGAAAGTCGGAAGGCAATGAAGCGCGCGCGTCTACGCCTGGTCGAGCCATTAAGGAACGCTTGCACACAAACACACACACACACACGCGCGCGCACACACACACGCAGGCACACACACACACACACTCTCTCTCTCTCTCACACACACACACGCGCGCGCACACGCGCACGCACGCACGCACGCACGCACGCACGCACGCACGCACGCACGCACGCACGCAGGCACACACAAACACACACGCAATCACACACACACACTCTGATCGGGCGCACGCGGGCAGGGCGACGCGCCACTCGGCCGTCCAGAGTGGGACGCACTGTGAGCCAGAAGGTGACTCACACACACACACACATCCATCCGTCCGCGGGCGTCCATACTTTTTGAGGGGCAGCGATAAGGGGGAAACTGGCATGGGTGCGGGGAAACATCTATCTGGAATCGGCGATCCATCGCCGATGGATCGGCGACAGGCGCCCGAAAGCGAATCTGCATTGTCCTGGGCAGGGTGGGGCTATCGGACCCCCATCGGCAATGAATGGGCGATTGTCGGGAACCAAACTCTATACACCGACGCGTGTTCCGGGCCTGCTCTGAAACTTGCAAACAATAAAACGGATCCTGGTGTATACATTTTTCCTTGTTTCCCCAAGAAAACGGTGAAACAAGTATACACCACACCACCCCGACGTCGTCCTCGACCCTCACAAAACCATGGGATTGAAAACCATGTGATTGAAAAAAAACACGAGATCGGGGGTCGATGCGTCCCGCTCTAACCCTGTCATCCCCTGTCGTTGCCCCCAACCTTCCCTTCAGGCAGCCGTGCCAAGTGCGCAGGACGAGCAGGAGAGGGCTGCACGCTCCCTCCCGGCCCCCGGGGAGCGGGCACGCCTCGCACGCCGAGGAGAGCAGCACCTCGTCCATCCGGTCGCCCATGCTGTGCTTCGGGGCGCGGGCCGCGGCAGCTTGCGCGGACACCCGGCGGGAGCCAGCGGGAAAGAGGAGCGAGGAGCAGACAGGCCCTCGGCTGCCCCGATGCGCAGCACGCAACACGTAGCGTTTCGGTCGGGAGCCCCAGACGCAGCCTGAGCACGCGTGCGTAGGTCTGACGCGACACGTTCGCCAAAACGTGGGCCCCATACGCCGAGCCGACACGCAACGTACTGGCACCGACCGGCGGCGACCCCAGGGGGAAGTGAGAAGAGGCGAGCCTTCTCAGAAGGCTCGGAAGTCCCCCCGCCTTCTGAGAAATGTTCTAAGCCTTCCCAGAAGACACAGAAACCCTCTCAGAAGGCGCGAGGGCTTCTGAGAAGTCCCGCCGTCTTCTGAGCAGGCCTTCTCCTTCTCACTTCCCCCCCTCGCTCGCCGCCGAACTGAGGTTTCAAGCTCGGTATGTGTTGCGGTTCAAGATGGGCGTATCGAGGCAGCCAAGACGAGGAGCAAGCAGGCCTGTCGCACGAGGATGCGGCGGGGACGGCGTTGGCAGGCCGCTCCCGCGGCGCGCCGCGCGGAGAAGAGGGTACCCAGGCGCCACCCTGCGCGGGCAACTCACGGAGTTAGGTGGAATATTGGGTTGGCCACTCGCGTGTGAGACTGTTGCCCCTCTCAAAACCTCTCCCCCAGGATTCTGGTCTGGCCGGTTGTTGGGGGGGGGTCCGCGCAAAAAGGCTGGGGGCCTCATCCCTGCCAGACATGCTCCTGCATGCCTCATCCTGGTTAGTGTCCTATGTTCGTCACTCGGGTGGCCACACTCTGGAGTGAAATTGCATATTGGGGGGGTCTCGACTGCGCCATCGCGCCAACTCTCCGCGTCGAATCCGTGTCGGGCCCATGCCAAGCACGTCGCATCCGTGTCGGATGCGTCGGATTCGAGTCAAATCCCCGCGTCGGGTGCAAGAGAAGACCGCAAATTGCAGGACAGACAAGGTCTCCCAAAAATGCAACGCAACTAGAAGTCTTCGTGAGCTCGATGAAGGACTCCCGAGCTGAACTGAGGGGCGACCAGGCCAGGTCCTACTGGAGAGTAAGCCACATACATCAAATTAGGACGCATGAGGCCCGGTCAGCATGGATGAGCACCAAGGAAACACCAAGGCAAAAGATGAATTGAACCCCCCAGAGTTGCACCTTGAAACGGAGATGCGGCAACGTCATCACCCAGCCTGCTCATGGTATCTCCAAGTTCGGGCCCAGGAGGCAGCGTGGACCCCCTCGCCAGAAGTCGGGGGGTGCTAAAAGTGCCCCTGGCCCAAGGGGTACTCCCAGCTTCATGCTTGAGCCTCCAGAGCCCTCTGGGCCTCGTGATCGGCGCTTTGTTGGCCGCGGGGTTCAGGCACCGCCCGGAGATCCTTAACGGTGGAGCCCATGTTCTTTCCTCCTTCCGCCCGCCATCGTGACGGTCGGGGTCACCCAGCGGGCTGGGCGGCGCCGAGAGGCCCGCCCGTTTTCCCCCAGATTCACGGATAGCCTGCCGACGCCAATCGGTATGACAAGAACGATGCCATGATACCGTACAGAGCCTCGTGAACTCGGACACGCTGCACCAGGCCCTCCAACATCCCTCACAACCAATTGTTTCAAGAAGCCTCACGTGGCCCAGGACTGCCCCCAAGAGGCCTCCGAACTGCCTCCAAGAGGCCCCCAAGAGGCCTCCCGCGAGATCTCAACGAACATCCACCAGGCTGCATACCCACGACACAGGCACGGTGGCGCGATGGGCCGAAGGCCATCTGATACCATGATCACGACTTCCTCTCTGAATCAGGGCCTCGCCGACCCGCGGCAAGACACAGGGCACAGGACGTAGCCAAGCCGAGACAGGGGCACGAACAACATGAAGTCGCATCGGCAATACCGTCTCAACAACGACATCAACAGCATTCGCAACGCGCGCGTACAAAAGCAGCCTGCATGCGCATACGCGCACCAAATAGAAGCGCACCAAATAGAACCGACGCGCACACAACTAACATATGATACGACACGCGTTCATGTCAGTGTGCGCACGAGCTGCGAGCACCCATGTCGCAGGCTGGGCGGCATCGCCGAAGTCCGTATCGCACTGGGTACATCGGCGCCAGCGGTCAATTCTGGTACCGAGGATGACTTCTCCTGCCGCGTTGCCTCCTTCTCGTGTGATGCCCTGGAGCCTGCTGCTTCGCCTGCTTCTCGTGCGATGTCTTTCCCGTGCGATGCGGGGAGACTGTCAGAGGCCGCCATTGGCCACCAGAGTGGCCCGTCTGTCCAGCTGGGGTTGTGGATGCCACGACAATGGACACCCTAACAATCCTACCATTGAATTGCACATGTGTTTAGAATGCCAGAAAATGTTCTAAACATGGTTCAATCATGTGCTTCACATGCTTGATACATGTTTAACACATGTTTTAGACATCTGGAAATTGTTTGGCGACATGCTTCCTCTCCATTGATCGTCCTCCACAAAGCTAGGGTCGTCCCATCTTCCCACTTTGACAGTGCCGCCAAAGACTTGGCACAATGAGACTTGCGCTGGGAACGGCGGCCCTTTGCGGCCTCGGTTGCGCACAGAATTCTAAGGAGCTCCTGGGGAGCAGGCCGAGGAGGGGCCCAGGGAATCCCGAGCCCCATCCGCAACCACAGCAGGCCCATCTCCAGCGCTTTGACTGTGACGCCCGCTCTGGGGACACCAAATTTCCTGCAACCAGAACAACTTCGTACGCACCGCTCTGCTGCGTCCAATTGCAAATCTGGCTGTCCAGAAATAGGCTGACTCCATCCAGCTGCAGAGGTGAACACTGAACGATGCTGAGAGAAAGAAGAGTGGCCCTCTGCGGGCAAGAAAAAGATCGGCCCTCAGAATGCCGCGATGCTGACGAGACTTTTGGTAATAGCCCTGGCGACCAGCATAGCCATCGTGCGCTCCACGTCCACAGCACGGGATGAAGACTGGATGTTCTTGAGGAGGATCGAGCACGTGACCTGCTGCGAAAACGCGAATTGCAAGAGTGCCGACATGATTGAGGGGAAGATGAACGTCATGTGCTGCACACTCAAGCTACGCTGACTCCCTCACATTCGCTTGCAAGGGGGGCGGGGAGGCGGGCTGTGGATCTACAAATCTAGACCCGTTTACGGATGTGTCCCAGAGACCGTTGGGACTCCTGTGCTTGAATCCCTCGGAGTTCCTGGTAGAATGGCCATGTGACTCGCACGTTCTGGCGGCGGCCGCCTGAACCCCCATACTTGAACTCGTATTGGCCTCAGCAACCGGCCGCGTGTGCAACACATCCTGGAGGTGGCCACTTGGACCCGTATGACTGGATTCCAACGGGTTCGCAGGCAAATGACCCTACGGTGCCGCACCCTCCTGCGGTGCCGCCTGGATTCCCACGCTTGTCGCTGGCAGCCGAATCTTCTGGCGATGACCGTTTGGATCCCCATGGGTTCTTGAGCAGGTAGTCCTGTGCCGCGCACTCTGGCTGTTGCCGCTTGGATTAGTACACGTACATATATACATATATATATGTGATATTTGTTGATGTATTTGTATAACTCCTCCATTTCTAAAAAATAGACGACCCTGGCTTTCGCAATTTCTCTGGTGGGCGCTTGAATATCGAAGATAAGTAACCGATGCATTCCCAAACAACTAAATGGCTGGCCCTCAGTGCCCCTGTCTCTGTTTCTGGTGACCAGCTGTATCTCCAGACATTCCCCCCACTTGTCGCCCATGTCCACAGGCACATTCGGCGCCAAAGAGTTCCTAAAACCTCAGATTGACTTCGTTGTGGTATCTATGATGACACCGCCCATGCTGCCTGCTTTATCTGCGCTGTCTGCGCTGTGCCGCAAATATTGCACCGCATATCTTGTGCATCATAAATTGCACCGCAAATGTTGCGTCCCATGTGAGGTCCCAAAGTCGCGCGCCTGGTAGATTGTAGTTGGCATGTTGTGCTGCCCATCTTGCTCTCATTATCCCCCTCTCGAATACACACATGATATATATATATATATATATATATATATGGCGGGTTCTCGTTTGTTCTGTTACCGGCCTCGTGACCCCCACATCCCCCCGGCACCGGGGGCGACCCCAGCAAGGCCATCCTGACCTGACCACAAACTGAGGATGTAGCTTACGGCGCTGGTTCTCAAAAAACAAGCTTTCGCGTGAGACATCCTCAGAAAAATGAGATGTTGCAGATCGGGCGTCGGATATCCAACATGGTGTGGAGAAGCGTTTCGCTTGAGACAGCCTCGCAACAAGGCGTTGTTGGAAGAGTTGCCTTACGACGCGAATTCTCAAACATGAAGCGTTCGCCTGAGACATCCTCAGAAAATTGAGATGTCGGAGATCGGGCGTCGGATATCAGGCATGGCGTGGAGGAGCGTTTCGCTTGAGACATCCTCGCAACAAGGCGTTGTTGGAAGAGTTGTCTTCTAACGTTGATGCTCAGGAATGAAGCGTTCGCCTGCGACATCCTCAGAAAGATTAGATGTTGGAGATCGGGCGTCGGATATCCAACATGGCGTGAAGGAGCGTTTCGCCTGAGACATCCTCAGAAGATGGGGATGTTGGAGGAGTTGTCTTACGGCGCTGCTTCTCAAACAGAAAACTTTCGCCTGCGACATCCTCAGAAACATGAGATGTTGGAGATTGGGCGTCGGATACCCACCATGGTGTGGAGGAGCGCATCGCCTGAGGCATCCTCACAATATGGGGATGTTGGCGGAGTTGTTGCACGACCTCGATCCTCAAAAAGAAAGCTTTCGCCGGAGAAGTCATCGGAAAATTGAGATGCTGGAGATTGGGCGTCGGTTATCCGACATGGTCTGGACAAGCGTTTCGCCTAAAACATCCTGACAAAATGGGGATGTTGTAGGAGCTCGCTTACGACGTTGATCCTCAGAACGAAAGCTTTCGCCTGAGACATCCTCGGAGAAATGAGATGTCGGAGATCGGGCGCCGGATATCCATCATGGTGTGGAGGAGCGTTTCGCCTGAGACATCCTCACAATAAAGAGGATGTTAGGGGATTTGTCTTACGGCGCTGGTTCTTCAAATTAAAGCTTTCGCCTGAAACATCCTCAAAAAATGAAATGTTGCAGATCGGGCGTCGGATATCCATTATGACGTGGAGGAGCGCATCGCCTGAGACATCCTCCCAATATGGCGGATTCCCGTTTGTCCTGTCAGCAGCCTCTCGGTCCCCGGCTTCACCCATCACAGGGTGCGACCCCAACAACACCTTCCACACTGCCACTGTCAAACGGAAAGACCTTACAATGACATCAACAGGAAATTGTCGCCTGAGACGTCCTCAGAAAAATGAACATGTTGGAGATCGGGCGTCGGACATTCAAGATGGCGTGGAGGAGCGTTTTGTTGCAGACATCCTCACACAATGGCGTTGTTGGAAGCATTATCTTACGACGCGAATGCTCAAGCATGAGGCTTTCTCCTGAGCCATCCGCAGAACAATGAAGATGTTGGAGATCGGGCGTCGGATATCCAACATGGTATGGAGGAGCATTTCGCTTGAGACATCCTCACAAAGTGCCGTTGTTGAAAGAATTGTCGTACGAAGCGAGTTTTCAAACTTGAGGCTCTCGCCTGCGACATCCTCAGAAAAATGAGATGTTGGAGATCGGGCGTCGGATATCACACATGGTGTGGAGGAGCATTCCGCTTGAGACATCCTCGCAAATGGCGTTGTTGGAAGAGTTGTCTTACGACGCGAATTTTCAAACATGAAGCGCTCGCCTGAGACATCCTCAGAAAATTGTGATGTTGGAGATCGGGCGTCGGACATCAGACATGGCGTGGAGGAGCGGTTCGCTTGAGAAATCCTCGCAACAAGGCATTGTTGGAAAGGTGGTCTTACGACACGAATTCTCAAACGTGAGGCTCTCGCCTGAGCCATCCGCAGAACAATGAAGATGTTGAGAGATCGGGCGTCGGGTATCCAGAATGGCGTGGGGATGCGTTACGCTTGACACATCCTCACAAAGTAAAGATGTTGGAGGAGTCGTTTTACAGCGTTGGTTCTCAAAATTGAAGCTACCGCCAGAGACATCTTCAGGAAATCGAGATGTTGGAGATCGGGCGTCGGGTATCCAGCATGGCGTAGAGGAACGTCTCGCCTGAGACATCCTCACAATATCTGGATATTGGAAGAGTTGTCTTACGACCCGAATTCTCAAATTGAAGCTTTCGCCTGATACACCCTCAGAGGTTGGAGGCCGGTCTTCGGATATTCAGCATTGCGTGTGTGGGGGGGGAGGGGCGTTTCGCCTGAGACATCCTCACACAATGGGAATGGTGGAAGAGTTGATTTACGTCATTGGTTCACCTAGTAGTGAAGCTCTCGCTTGACACATCCCCAGGAAAACGATATGTTGTAGATCGGGCGTTGCTAGAAGACTTGTCTTACGACCCGAATTCTCAAAATGAAGCTTTCGCCTTGGACATCCTCAGAAACGTGAAAATGTTGGAGATCGGGCGTCCGACATCCAACACAGCGTGGGAGGGCGTTTCGCCTGAGACATCCTCACAAAGTGGCGATGTTGGACAAGTTGTTGTAGGACGCTTTGTTCTGAAAAAAAGAAGCGCTCGCCTTAGACATCATCAGGAAATGAAAAGGATATCCAACATGGTGTGGAGGAGCGTTTCGCCTGAGACGCCATCGCACCATTGGGGTGCTGGCGGAGTTGTGTTACGACGTTGGTCCTCAGAAACACTTACCCGTTCGCTTAAGATGTATTTAGGAAGTTGAGATGTTGAACGTGGGCATTGGATATCAAACTCGGTGTGGCTGGACGTTTCGCTGCGGACATCCTCAGAAACATGTTCAGTAAGCTCCCGAACTCGACGCGCCTTCAAGAGCTGGGCTCTCGTCCGAGACATCCTCAATGAGGATGTCTCGGACAAGAGCCCATGTGTGAGGATTTCTCACAAATGGAAGCGTCACCAGAGAAGTCTGACAGCAGATTTACTTGACATGAACTCCTTACTAGGTTCGTGGACCCCTCAAACTTTCAGCATCTTGACGCACATGCCTCGCAGTGCGGTGCCCGCCTACTGTGAGCAATGACGCGGGGCAATGGGGAGGCCAGGCGCCCTCCGCACATGTCAATCGCACATGCCAGACACTCTCACCAAGAAGCTTGTCGCGGGGGGGCGCAACCAGGGGCCCTCCAGAAGGGCCCCCGTGGGCCATGGGGTTCACCGAACGATTTCGGGCCAAAACCCTCCCCGGCACCTCCCCGGCACTGGCGTCAGGGTTGCCCCTCACGGCACCCCGGGCGACCCCGGCACCCGGGCGACCCCGGCACCCGGGAGCCCCCCTGGGCGACCCCGGCACCCAGGTTTCCCCTGGCACCCTCCCCCTTGGGAGCGCTGGTTCTCAAACTGCTCCTGCCCTCGCCATTCATCCCTGTCCCGTGCCCTTCCTCCTTCTCCTCCTCCTCCTGCGCCCCTCCCTCCTCCACTTCCCCCTTCCTCCTCTCCCTCTGACGCCTCCCCCCGCCATCCCATTGTGCAAAAATATCCTGGCGAGATGATATATTGTGAATGCCGTCGTTGTGAGCATCGCCCTCGGTAAGCTCCCTGTGGAGCCACGAGCCGTGTGAGCGGTGTGCCGTAATGGAGGCGGCGGTGCCATGCGGACCCTGCCACTGGGGCTTTCGGCGGAGCTCCCTAGCCACGAACCGTGCGAGCGCTGTGCCGACATGGAGGCGGCGGTGCCATGCGAACCCTGCCCTGCCACTGGGGCCTTCGGCGGAGCTCCCTATGGGGCCACGAACCGTGTGACGAGTATGCCGACATGGAGGCGGCGGTGCCATTCGAACCTGGTCACTGGGGCCTTCGGCGGAGCTCCCTGTGTGGCCACGAACTGTGAGCGGTGTGCCGAGATGGAGGCGGCAGTGTCATGCGAACCCTGCCACCAAGGCCATCGGCGGAGCTCCCTATGGAG